ACATCTAGCACTGTTGTTAATTTCAGGATGATATCATTCAGAGCATTAACTTTTTATTCATGATTATATTCATAATGTGTAGCCACAAACCAGGCCTCCAGCATGGATATTATTGCAAGGTAATTGTAAAATTATGCCAGCTGCTATTAGGAAGAAAATATCATTTCTTTGCATTCTTCGCAAATCTGATATTTTATTCATTCGCTCCCTCTAAACACGTATTGCCCTTACAGCTGCGTGGCCTCTGTAAGAGCAAAATTGCAACAAACTGATCATGGGCACTGTGTTAGTCATTTACTGTATTGTCCCTTTATATCCTTTTAATATAATGTTAAACTCATTAAGAGACTTATAAGAATTTAGTTGCAATGTTTTGATAAAGGTTTTAGTTACAATAACAATAAAGAGTAGTGTATATGAGCACATGTGACATCAGATTTGCATATTGACTCTTTTAAACACTTTATAACTTCAATAATCATTATTTTACATTAACAGTGCACAACGTGTCTCTGCAGTACAGTGTACAGATTTGCTCACTTTGTATTTTGGTTTTCTGTGCCAAAACTGTAGATAATTCAAATCCATTTACTGGTTTTCTTTTCTTGTTATCATCCTAATTTCTAGGAAGTTGTTGTTGAAACAAAGATACAGCACTGTGTGGTGATAAATCCACTGCAAATTATCACCGTGGTGCCAAATTGTAGACTAGAATGTTTAGCAGCTTACTGGCGGATATAGCAGGACATTTGTTCTATCTGTAATTATTTTAAATTGACATTTAACTTCATAAAATAATTTTATTGCTGTAGTTCAAAAATGAGAATTTTTAATCTACACTAATGGCTTCTGTGGGTTTTTTTGTTTTGTTTTTTTGTTGTTTTTTTGTTTTTTTACAAAATGTTCATTTTGGTTCTCAAATTCTGCAAATATATATGGATTAGTCAGTTACAGACATAGATGTATACCTTTTTAAGTCTAGTCTGTCACCAGTTTTTTAGTCATCTGGTTGTTAGGTTAATTAAAACAGTGTACAAAAAAGATCCAAAAATAATATATATCTAGTAATGTCCTGCTCTAAACTATAGATCAGGACACACTCCCTTGTTGGCCTCGTATACTCTCTATACAGTACTGTATACTGACGGGAGTTTAGATAAACTGGAATATTAGAAAAAGCAGCTGATTATGGTGGTCTACAGTCACTGTTATCACGTGGTTGATGTTTAAAATTGATAATTTTTTAGGTCAATAATTATAAGATAATTAATATAAAAATTGTTTAAGAAATACTTTAAGTCACAGGAAGCCATTTTTGGGTTTGTTTAATAAAAAAGTATATTGTACTCATAAATGTACATTGTTAATTATGGCTTCCAACAAAATGATGCATTAATTGATCCATTCTCATTAACTTGGAATGAATCCATTAAAAATACAATGGTAGGGGTGCTGGTTTGTGCCACGTTGCCCACCATCAGCGCCTGAGATGGGCATCACTGTTGTATTATTATAGAAAGAAAGAAGGTATACTTCCTCTCTGCATTTAACCCATTCACTCAGTGAAGCAGTGGGCAGCAATGTGTAGGGACGGTACCTTGCTCAGGGGTATCTCAGGGTAGCCATTCAGTGGATTCGGACCACCGACCTTCTGATCATGGGGCTTCCACCCTACCTACTGAGCTTTCCCTGTTAATAGAGTGTTAACCTTACAGTATACAGTGCCTCAGGGCAGTTGTTGTTGTAATTTGGCACTATATAATTAAAACTGAATTTAATTGAATTGTTCTGCCTAATGGCTCTTTATGTATGTGACTAGATAGGTAGAAACGTTCTAGGTAAAGGTAAAGGTGTAATTGAAGAGCATTGGACTCCTTAAAGAATTTGAACCGTCTGTCCAAAGTAAATAGACGTGAACACACATTGACAGCTGACAGCAGATCGAAAGCCTTCCCTCAATACAGATAAACAGAGCTCTACAGACGCCACCATAGCTAGGATTATGCACTTTAATTGAGAGGGGAAAACAGAATTTAGGTGACTGCAATCTGCAGTCTACTGACATCTAGTGGTGAGATTTTACACACTGTAACGTTTCTATTTTACATACTTCTACTACAAAATCGACTTAATAACAAATCTAAAATAGAATTATATATATTGTCTTGACCTATTAAAAACATAAATAATCATCTGATGACAGCAAAGTTATAAAGCTGGAATATGAACAATAATACTACTTTTAATGAACAAACAGTGTCATATATGAGTGGCCGTAAGAAGAAGACATGTATTGGCTATGCAATAAAGCATTAAAGCAAAGGAGTACAATAGATTATTGGGTTCAAGAGGTTAATGTCTCTGCATTTACATGACGTCATTAGTGTTTTATTATTTATTTATATTAAATCATTTTAGGATTTTCAGTCATGACCACAATACTAAGCAGTGGGTCCTGAGGTCTCTGCTCTACTGTTTTTCAGTATTCAAATATTAAAGCTGCAGCGAGAAGTACATTGAAATATAGGCCACTAAGGATAGACTTGCTGTTCAATAAGAAAGAGACTAACTTCTCAGGCTCACTTCTCAGGATCTGTGTCTAATTCTAAATGTCTTGTTGTGTTTTCTGGGAGTAGATGATATCTCCAGTGACAAGTGCCTTTGGCAAAACTGTGTAGAATTCAGTTTGTTACAGAAAACTCTGCAATGTGATGACTTTAACCCAGCTGCATTGCATGGGAAAATATCATCAGGATCTGCTTTAAGATGATGCTGTTTTCAGTGTTCATGAGTTAACTTAAGGTCGACTCCACTGTCCTGACACATGTAACCATTTCCAGATGAAGGTGGGCTTTAGCGACATTTTCAAAATCCTGTTACAGTTCCACTAAAAACAGGGTGGTTTTCCTCAACAGATGGCACAAACCACCCACAGAGAGAAGGCGAAAAAAACATTGACGTGTTCTCAGAAACTAGGGTGAGGTTTAAAAGTTGTCTCTTTTTTTTTAACAGCCACACTGAGATTTCTGTTTGAGTTTAACTTGTAGCAGCTAGTGATATATAGATGTTAAAGATGTATTCAAATGTCACCGTCTTCACATCATTTTGATGGACTCATGTTTGTCAGAAAAGTATGCAGAGCAATGTTAGTGCTTTGTACAACTTACAAGACCAAAAAAACCTTGATTTTAATCGAGATATCGATATCGAGAAATTCCTTACCTTTCTAATATGTGTACAGAGTGTAGAATCTCTTGGCCCTTCCTCATATCAGAAGAATGAAAATCCTGGTTGTTTTTACATCCACAGTCACAATATATTACACTAACTATTCAGATTTGAAGTCAATAAATTCTCCACTCCTACATTAACGTGTTTTGGTTTAAACATTTTCCCATCCAAACGTCCACAGATAACCTCTCACCATGTCAGCATCTGTTTTATGAGAGGAACTTTTTTCCCTTTTTCAGGCAAATGCTGCCTCGCTTCTATAATGGTGTTGTTTTAGTTCGAAGGGATTTACGATGAAAATGGAGATGCAGAGGAGATATTCATTCATTGGTAGTCATTTAAACAGACAGCCCTACTTGACTCCATTTTAATTTGTTTTCCATGGTAGATATGCTGTGCTGTAGCCAGTTTAAATGTCCTCAGATGCGTTTTACCATATATTATGCATTTCGTTACAGCCAGATTGTAGCTTTTGAATTGCTCTGTATTCGTCGATCTGTAAAGTGAGATCATAAAGTGCAACGGTGCTTCTCTGAATGTTATTCTGTTATGTTTAGTGATTTTCATACAGAGTTTCCAACATAATTCCATGCTGACCACCAAAGCTTTTGGGAGTTTTATTTAAAAAAATTTCAGCACTCTTAGTTTGCTGTTCTTTTCTCCCATCACTTATTTCCTGTGTTGAAGAAGGCATTTCATGTTTGCTTTGGCCCAGCTGATGCTTTGGCCAAGAGCTGACTGGCCTGCTATGGGTGGGAGAGAGCAAGAATTTCATTTTGAGTTCACCCCCTTAGTCCACCCATGGCCACTATTTCTTCTTCCACCTCTCCGTTCTCTCTCTTTTCATCACTTTCTTATACCCTTCTCCACCTGTTTCTCCATTTTCCACTGTGTTTCTGTATTTTCACTGTTCTGCAACTGATTTATGGTGATCTATTTCTGCAAAATCCATGGGGATGATCCTATTTTTTTTCTTATATACTTCCTTTATTTTTGTTTAGATCATTTCACTACAGGAACATATGTGAAATGGTGAAATCGACCAGTATTGGTCTTCTTCGTTGAGGGTTATATTTAACAGTTTTTTATGCTGAGTGGAGTATGCTGGGGTTACACCAAGTGGAATGCATCAGCTGCATCTGTGAATTTACATTAACGCCTGGTGAAAGTTGTAATCTGATTTAGAGTTTTGAAGGTGGCTCTTTCGTGTCACAATTTCTTTCCCTACCGTTATGTTGGTAAATGTGGTTGTACTGGACTTAAGCTTGTCAGACATGCTAAAGCTTAGCATGTCTGACTGTACGGTAGCGCACTGCAACCAGTTTTGACTTCTGGGCCACCTGTTTAACAGCGACAGACTTTTACTGCTGCTTTGACTCAATTTATGGATTGCTGATGTTAACTGTTCTATTTTTACTGTGACCAAGTATCCTGTAATTTATTGCCACCAGTGTGATGAAGAAACCTCATACTGTCGAGAGGAAATTTGCCATCAATTCAGAGGCTGTCATTCCAAAACGATGCCTTCTGGAAAGTAACGATGATCATGCTAATTAGCCTTTCTTATGTTATAGTTAAGTAAATGACTTCATTGTGTTTATTTAGCAGATTTTTTGATCTATATGATCTGTGTTTATTCTGCATAATCTCTGTTATTCCTATTTTTTTCACTAAAAATGTTTTATGATTAGCACACTTTACTGCTCTTTCACTAAGTAAAGATTATCACTATATCTCATTACCTCATTACTTCTCTCTCTGTCCCGCAGAGTCTAGGATGCGATGAGTATCTCGGATCAGGAAGGGTGGTGGACAAGTGTGGCGTGTGTGGAGGTGACAACTCAACCTGTAGGCTGGTTTCAGGAGTGTTCAAACATAGTTTATCCAAGATCGGCTATCACAAGATAGTGGAGATCCCAGAAGGAGCCACCAAGATCAATGTTACTGAGATGGTGAAGAGCAGAAACTACCTAGGTGGGTGGTAAACATACTCACAGGATACTGTGCTGTGGCTGTACTGACGAAGAATAGCCAGTTAGTGCAGTTTTGTCTTCTTGCTCATGGCTGGTTTCCTTAATTTTATTCTAGCTGCTGTATTGCAGCTGGGTGAATGTATAAGTTAAGTTTAGCATTTTAGCCAACAGAACTGCTTTAGCATTTCACTGTTTTGATTATGAGCACTAACAAGTAATTTAAAGCACCTAAATTAAAATTACACCCTTTTCCCCACTTTTTTGTTACTCTTTATTAGTTCAGCATTCGTTCAGGCAGTCAAGATCAGTCATAATCTTCAGTGGATCTCAGCTATGCTCTATATCAACTAATACACTCTGTGTTTTAAGCTGCATTAGCCTGACCACAGTTGTGCCTGAAGTCGCGTTGTAACTCCCCTCGACTCCATCTTCCTTTCATGTTCTTTCGGGGCCATACCTGTTGTCACTGAAGCCTGATGTTCTGTACAGTCTTACAGCTGGTATCTCCTCCTGTGGCTTTGTGGAATTGTGGAGACGTGTGCTCTCCTAATAGAGCCAAAGAGAGTGTTATTTCTTTCTACAGTAATTTAAATGTTCTTTTGACTACAGTGGCCCTGAATGACCTGTAATCTAAAAGCCCCACCTTCCTCCATAGTGCTTACTCCTACTCAGTCTTTACTCTCTGCCATGCTGTGCTGGGCATATTCTTTATTTAAACGCAGATGCCAAATATAAAAATGTTTCCGTTCACATCACATTATATTTCATTGCATATGTGACAGCTAAATGAATTATGTTTGGGAAAAAAATAACAGAGATCGTTTCTTAGCAGCACATCAGTCATACTATAATAATATTTTGACATCTGCTAGTTTGCTTGAGAAAAGAGGTTTTAGGTATTAGTTGCTAAAACTGTGTGAACAGTATAGAAATGCTTGAATGTTGGCCATATACTTTAAATAAGAGGCCTCTAAGAGTGCTTGTCGTTGGTAACTGCTAATTTAGCTGTCTCGCAGCAAATAGAGCATTTTAGTTTCCATCCTGGTTTACAGTTTCATTAGTCACAGTTTGCTGCAGAGTTCTGCTTTCAGCAGCTCAGAACATACGTCAGAAAACCGCCATCTGCCATGCGTAGTGTTACATGTATGACACCAGTGAAAAGAAAGTCATGAAAAGAAATCATTAAATGATGAATGTGAGAAATGTTTGTTACATTAGCACTAAATAAGCCTGAGCAGGTAGGAGCTGTTTTGTTACATTTGTTTTATTAAACAGCATTTTGCTTTTTAGGATTTCTTTGGCCTTATGCCTATATCGCCACCCACTGTGTCTTAATGTTGTTTAGTGGAGCCTTTGAGTGACCCACACTTTTTACTGAGGTGCAACAGTGGGACAGTAGAGGCTTATTTATTCAGAAATGGCTGTTGGAATGTCAGACATTGTTTACTGAGAACCTTGCCCTGACTCAGCATTGGGTTTAGAGGAAGAGGAGAGCAGTCCTAGTCCACCCCACCACCCCCCATCCACCCACCCGCAACTGCTTTCCCTGAGGAAAGTGCATAAACATGCTTTCATCAGAGGATCTTACCCTTCAGGACTCACAATCTTTTTTAATTAAAGTGCGGAATTTCACCACCCAATAAAAAAAATAAAAAACTGGAAACATTAAGACGACGAATTCAGTGGCTGTCTTTCAAACCCCAGCTGCTTAGATGCCAAGTATGCTCAGCTTTCTTTAATTTGAACTGACCATTTATATACACAAGTACACAGAGTTATGTACAGACAAAAAATACTAGTATTTATATGAAAAACTTTGCTGCACCTTATACAGCATTTACAAACTCTTCATTCTTCATTCACACATAGCAAGAAAAAAAACGTGTGTTCTCTAAGTGGATATGTTTTCAGTTTAAAAATCTGTGGCACATTTATAAAGGTAAAATAAAGAGGAATGATCTGAAGGTGTTATGCATTGAATTTATAAAAAGATTACACAGTTCCAGGGAGCAACATATGTTTTAAAATGCAAACGAGACTAGAATCAGGCAGGAGCCATCAACTATATCCTCATCACGTCCCTGATTTTCCCTTCAATAGGCCTTTGTTCTACGCTCTGCATCTCTAATAGTGCTTTTAGTTGTCCAAACACTCTTTTACAAGCCTGTCTAATGTTACACTTCTAATGTCTTTCTAATGGCCCTTTTGTATTTAATCCATGAAATCAGTGGAAAAACCTCTTGGGAGATTTTGTTACAGGATTTGCATGAAAGATTTGCCAGCACAAACAGATTGTCACATTTGAAAAAGACATTGCTCTGAAAGTGCATGTGAGAGCTTTTATTCAGTTAGCTACTGTAATTACCCTTTTGGGTTTGAGCCACTTTTAAAAAGAATACAGATCCCATTATGCCAAATAGTTTTACATTAAACAATAATTATATAGAAGAGCTTTTTGGTTACATGTTTTTCTCATGTGTTTGTCAGTCTTGATTGTCAGTCTCTCTGTGTCTACCAGCTTTGCGAAGCCGATCAGGGCGATCAATCATTAATGGAAACTGGGCAATTGACCGGCCAGGAAAGTATGAGGGTGCAGGGACCATGTTCACCTACCGCCGACCCAATGAAATCAGTAGCACAGCTGGGGAATCCTTTCTCGCTGAAGGCCCCACAAATGAGATTCTGGACGTTTATGTGAGTAAAAAAATCAGCTTGAACCCCAAGAAAGTTACGGTGGTGGGTCTCCTTGTTTTTTTTTTGTTTGTTTGTTTGTTTTGTTTTTGCTGACCTGAGAAACGGTGTAAAATTTTGAAAGTGCAAATGTTGAAAGGCTTACAGTTCTGTTTTGAAATTGTTGTCTAAGTCTCATCTACTTTCACTCAGATGATCTTCCAGCAGCCAAATCCTGGTGTTCACTATGAGTACATTCTCCCATCTGAGAAGCTCGTGAGCCCTCAGCAACCAAGCCGCAGGCCGGAAGGTAAATAAGACCCACTTTTGGCCCCTCCTACTGTGTACAAACGACCAAGCAAACAACCAGTGGAGAAAATAACTTTTAGATAAATTAATAAGTGCGTGTTCGTTGCAGGCCTATATATAGCTAGCTATATCTATCCATAGAGTATATCAAATTGATGACACTTCACATCTTAGGGAATGCTGTGAATGGACAGGATGGATACGACCAGCAGAATCATCAGGAAAACTTTAATCCAGCTGGCAGTGGAAGATATTCGCCTCCTCCCACTGAAAACCAGGTACCCTCCGTACAGCCACCCAGACGTGAGAGAGAATACAACTGGAAACTGACTGGTGCTACAGAGTGCAGTGCTTCCTGTGGTAAAGGTCAGTTAAAGAAGTTTATGTTGAGCTTTTTTTTTTCTTTTTAGTTACAGAGAGAGTAATAAAATAACAAAATGGTGAAAAAAGTTTGCTTGAGGTTTTACAGTTTTTTTTTTTTGATGTGTATATATATCTGTTTGTGATGCAAGTCTGCATTTATATGGCATTAAAATTATGTTACATCCAGTTATCAATTATGTAAAAATTATGTGTCTCCATGTGCATGTTAAACTATACCTAAAGTCAAAACTCAAAAGTTGCATTGCTAAAACATTAATCATTTGGTCTTTATGACATTGAGTAAAATATGACTTTACTGAACTTTTAATTGCACAAAAGATTTTCCCATGCGGTATATACAACAATCAAAATTTGTTTCAGGAGTTAGTGCCTAAATTTCTACTTTTTAGGTTTCAGATATTCCATCTTTCACTGTGTCAACCGGCTGACTCAGGTCCAGGTATCGGACTCTTTGTGTGACAGCAGCAGCCGACCAAGTCCACAGGAAGAGGCCTGCAACTTGCAGCCCTGCCCAGCATTGTGAGAAATTTATCCTCTGTTTCTAGAGTGCAAATTGCAGACGTCTAAATTTAAAAAGTGTTTTTTATTCTACATGCAAGTTGACTTAATAGTATGCATGTACGCAATGAAGCCTTAATATAAGCTGTAAATATCACCCCAAGGTTCGATCCTTTAAGCAAATTTTCTATCCAGGCATTTCAGATCACACTGAGAGATGACGAGGAAGAATGTATTTTAAATTTTACCATCCATGTGGAAATATTCATACAATTTTTTTTAAACTGTTGTTTTAAAATATAGAAATTGATGATTTTCAGGTGAACCAAGTTTTTTACATCCTCTTAATTTTGTACAGTTTCTGTCCCTAAAGGAACAAATCATAGAAAATACAACAAATGAATGTCGCATTTTGGACACTAATGCTTTTCATTTTATTTAATAGCTGGGATATTGGAGAATGGTCAGAGTGCAGCAAAACCTGCGGTCTGGGCATGCAGCATCGGCAGGTCTTGTGTCGCCAGGTTTACGCCAACCGCACCCTCAATGTCCACACGAGCCGCTGTCGACACCTGGAGCGGCCTGAAACTGCCAGTACCTGCCAGCTAAAGATCTGCAGTGAGTGGCAGATTCGCTCAGAGTGGACTTCTGTGAGTGGCAGCAGTCAGACTTAATTTAACTTACAAGACTTTTCTGAACTGACCCTGAAGTTATGAAAGTTATCTTGAATCTGTACTCCTGTTCTCTACTCTTATATCTTATATCTAAATTGAGCAAATAAGCACACTCATGAAAAGAAAATGGTACAGTCTCCTTAGCTATACATACCTCCATAGTACAACACTATCCATGTAGTATGTATCTTCATAGTGCTCTGTGCCATGTGGGCTGGGTCAGAGGTCACGAGAGGTACACTGTGTCAGCAATGTGGGCGACTTTGTTCCTGATGAGGAGTGCAACATGAATCTGCGGCCCAATGATGTGGAGAACTGTGATATGGGAGCTTGTGCCAAGAGCTGGTTCTACACTGAGTGGGGCAACAGGGTAAGTGTCAGCAGGAGACACAGTAACTTTCATTCATTTCTAATAACAGAGCTAGTCTTTGTATACAGAAGGTCTGTCTTCATCACTCAAGTAGCTATTCTTGATGGCCAGCTGATATAGATACCTTTTGATGATTTTGGCAGGGAAACATACAACTAAGGTCAGGTAGAAAGTTTCATGCCTATGAGGAAAACTATGAGAAAATAAAATCAATAAAGACAGTGGTTGCCACGCGATCATAGGCTGTGCTTTAGGCTGTTCCTGCTTTCAGGTTACATTGCATGACTTTTGTAAGCAGCAGAACAGATTAGCCATGAACAAATATTAAGTTCTTGCAGGGAAAGGAAGACCTCGGTGGATGACATGAGAATCCAACAGAAGCACGTGTTTTTTGTTTTACAGTAATGATACCATTTAACTTTACGGCAATACAATAGGACTAAAAGAAGAAAGTGAATGACTTTAATTTTGCAGGATTGCCTAGATTCCTCTTGATTTGAAACATACGAACTACAAAGCCAGCTAAGATATGAAGTTTCAAAGTGGGCACAGTTAGGTTCTCTATTTCCTCCTCACAAACTCATACCACCTTTGCACACATTTGACTTGTGTGCGTTCTCTTTAATGTATTTTTCACCCTATGTTTCTACTTTGTGCAAAAATTTGACCTAAACTCTAATACGTTTTGCTCCACAGTGCTCAGCTGAATGTGGTATGGGTGTACGGACACGGGGAGTTCTCTGCCTGACCAACCAAATCAGCAGTCTCCCTCTGGAAGGATGTGGCAGCGAACGGCCCGCAGACTCTCAGGTCTGCAACAACGGTCCGTGTGAGAATCGAATTGAGTGGTTCACAGGACCCTGGAGCCAGGTATGAACACAACTGGAGGTTACATTGTACGTACGGGGAAGTTGTCAGATATGTAGGACTTTACATTAATATGTCACATGGGTTTTTCTTTCCTGATTTTGTGTTTAACTGAACATAGTGCTCTGCAGAGTGTGGCACCGGCACCCAGCAGAGGTCAGTGGTGTGTTTGATGAAGTCAAATGAAGGATTCACTGTCATGCCACCATATGAGTGCTCATCCCTGGACAAACCTCTCAGGCAGCAGAGCTGTAGCCTCAAGGCCTGTGGAGCAAAGTGGTACCACACTGACTGGAGTGCTGTGAGTAAGATATAAAACCCTCTATCACAGTTTAGATGCTTAGAATCCTCACAGTGCTTAAAACGACTGATAAGAAATCACTTTAAATCTATCGTAGATGGTTGTTTGAGTTGTACATAAAAGTGGTGTAGGCACAGTGATGTCACTCATTGGTTTGTGGGCACTTTGTTTTGAACCCTTAGGTACTTTTTTAACCGCATATCACAACTGGTAGATCTGTCTCTGTGGAGACTTCATAGCCAATAGCAGCGACTTGCCAATCACACATAGCCCTGCTCTAAAGCCAATCCTATTTATGTCATTTATTTTACTCTAAATAGTAATGAATGTCAAGCCTTATTAAAATTTCTTGAAACTTGCCCGTGAGATTGCAAACTCGTCAGGATTTTGAGTTTATATATATTATATATTATAAATTATTTTTTCTTGGCTTTTATACTATCTGTCTTTTTAAAGTAGAGGAGTCGCTCCCTGCTGTTCATTAAAAAGATTGCAGGTTTTAGCCCCTTTCCCATTCCGAGAGCTAACTATCTGTGAGAGCTAGCTGATGAGTCTCCTGATTAATAGGTAATAAGTAGGTTATAAATATAGGTTATAAATAAGATTTATAACCTATATTTATAGGTATCTTATTTTATAATAAGATTTATAACCTACTTATAAATACTTATAAATAAGTAGGTTATAAATCTTTATTTGCTATGTACCATTTTTGTTACCGTTTAATATGTAACAGTTTTATTTAAACCCTCTAAAATGTGTCCTGGTGTTTTTGACATTAAATAAATGTAAAGTTTAATTAATACTAATTAAAGGACATCAATAGCACAATTTCCCTTGAACCTTTCTTTTCAGGATTCTGACTGGTCAGATTTAACTGACAGTACCCAAGCAGCCCACTAAACTCGGATTGGTGCCTAGCATCACCTTTTTACATCTGACACCTCAAAACCAGATTATCCCATTTTCCCTATTAGAAATTTAATTGAAATAGTTGATCAAATTTTGATCGTAATGTTTAGAATATTCGCTGTGATATCCTCACTGACTTTAGGGCAAGCATATGAGAATGATTACTGTCACTGACTCTTGCTCTTCAAGTGCTCCAAAACATGTGAAGGAGGTTTCCGTGTGAGAGAGGTGCGCTGTCTGTCTGATGACATGCTGTCCAGAGAGGGCTGCGATGTGCAGTTGAAACCAGAAGAGAAGGAGGACTGCAACCCAGAGCCCTGCATACCTCTGATAGGTCAGTCAATGTTTTATACGATTGACCTGAATGAATATTTATTGATGATTTTTAGCATCAACACATTGTGAGCATAATAAAGGGAATGTCCTCCCAGTTTCCCTGAAACTCTGTGGCTCCACTGCCATATCTTTATTGAATTATATTATCAACTCTTATTTTGTATTCAGATGAGAACTGCAGAGACAAATACTTCAACTGCAATGTGGTGGTCCAGGCTCGCCTCTGCGTGTATGATTACTACAAGACAACATGCTGTGCTTCATGTTCCCGGGTGGCCCACAAACAGTCGACCTATCGCCGACAAAGCTAGCGCTCTCTACCAGGGTCACTCCGCTCCATGGTGGTCCAGAGTCAGTACCCCCTGGAGGCCCTCTGGTCCTGTGGCAGCTGGGAAGAATAGACTGGCTGGACCTTGCCTAAAATAGGCACTTGTTGTTTTTGCCAACTGTGGAAAGTGAAGAAGGGACATTTTTGTTGGTTTATTTGAAGACAGCTGTTATGAGGGAAAAATGGTGTGTGCCAAGAATCCACTCACTGCAGATGTCAGCTGTGGTGAGAGGCATCAGTATCAAAGTGGAGAATCTAAAACACTTAAAGGATTTGATCTGTGTCTTATTCAAAGAATCCCTCTTCTTTGCTTCAGTGGGAACAGTTTGCAGGTACTGTTTACCGACAATGACGCTTGTGGATTACTTATGAAGAGGAGAGCACGAGCTGACTGTGTAACATGGACCATATATGGTTACACAGCAGAACTCAGATTTATGGCAGTTAATGTAATCGCACATGTTGTCAGTTATTTCGCATCCACTGCTGACCAAAGATATGTAACCTCACCAAACTGCCGACAGTAGCAGATCACCACCTTTTCCTGAAAAACAAATACTGTGCACCTTCCCTGCTGCCAATTGCATATATTTGACTGTTTTCTGGCAAACCATGTCTTTTTCTCCCTACACAGCTACGAGGTCCAAAAGCAGCCTATGTAATATGTATGTATAAATGTATGTATGACAATGTGAATGATAAAAAAAAAAGGTTTTCAGGCTTCTTGGACAGCCCAACACTCTGCCAGTAACTGAAGAGAAAGAAAAATCTCCCTCTTTATTTATTTGTGTGGTTCCCTGTTGTTACATGAACCACCCGTGGCCTCTTTTTAGCTGTGGTGATAAAACTTTTGTTGCCTTTAAACTAGTCACAACTTTGAACTCGGTGTAGGCATTTCACAGCCTGCTGGATGACAGAAGCAGATAATCAGAAAACTTTTGCATTTTTGGAGAGTTGAAACTAACTGTACATATTTCTTTATTTCTAGTGGGATATGATCATTCCACACTGTGTAATTCCTATGAAAAAAATATACTGAATTATCTATAATATATTATTTACATTTGACTCTAAAGAGAAATCATTTCAATGTTTTACAGTTCTTGATATGGTGATACATACATCTGGTTTGCATTTATAGTAAATCCTTATTAGTGACCAATCTTTTTCTACCATAAAACAGCCATTTTCAGTTTTGTACAAAAGTGCACACAGTACCTCTGAAATGCTCGGCTCTTGTTGTAAATGCTATTATTGTTTCCCTCCAAGAAAGATTAACTTACCTCTGATTCATAAGTACTGTATCCAGATATTTTGCAGATATTTTCCTCTATCAGAGAAATAACTATTTTGAAGTGTCAACATGATGGCATGATTTCTTTTAAATCTTAATTCAATCATGAAACAACTGAATTAAGTATTCAATATATGACTGCAACTAATAAAACATCTGTATTTGCTTTATTTTAGATCCCAGCTGTTCCGATGTTAATTTTCTTGAGGAAATTTTCTCTAATAGGCAGTAGACTTTTCAGCAGCTTTTCCTTGTGAATCAGTTTCACATCACATTGTGCATTCTTTTTTTGCAGCAGTTAGAGTTTGGCATGTAGACCCTGAGCTCAGCACTCCCAACAAATATAATCAGCACAGCACAGAAATTGTGGTAGATCCTGGAGTGATGGAGAAGGAGCAATGCACTAATTACTTATAGTCTTTCCTATGAAGATATTAACACTTTAAAACATTGAGCTTAAGCATAAGCATTGAACTTGCAAAAGTGTTTTTGTTTTGTTTCTGGTCGATTGAAAAGATTAACAGGTTTAAACTAATGACATTTCACTCTGCCATCTAATCTGTATTTATTGTATTACTGTAAATAAAATTAGTGAAGCAAATTATTGCTCACAATATGAGCCATTAATATATCCACTGACTTAGCCCTGGTTCACAGCATTTTTCTTCTGCTAGTACGCATTCAGTAACTCCAGTGGAGCGACAGCGTTTCTGTATTTAGCTGTCGAAATTGTGGAAGTGTGCAAAAATCACCACAGAATGAAACCATCTGTATTCAGAGCTCAAACAACATCTAATCTTCCCCTCACTCCTGCCCTCATCATGAACTTCTTCCTGCAGCTTGACCCCTTTTTATTGCCCTCTCACTTCTGCACCAATCTTTTCTCTATTATTGATGACACATCAAAATTCCAGGAACAGAAAAGTGCTTTCATCCTCTACTGTCTTGAAACATTGGCTATTAGAGGAATATTTACTGACTACATGTTGTGATGCAGACAACCACAGAACTGTGTTCTGTTCTAACCTCAGGGTAACCTCCTACGTCTTGCACATTGGCGGTCAGTAGGTGTCTTAGACTATGAGGCATGAATACAGAGCCCACGGTGAAACTTCATTATATCCTCCAAACTGCCATACAGAATAATGGTCTCCACAATCTCTTCCGGGTGAATTCTTAACCAAGTGCAACCTTTACCCAGTCTGTGTATGCATGAAGTACTCTTGTACGGTCAGACTACAAACTTCTTAAATAAAGAGCAGAAACCCATTTAACTTCTTTGGAAAAAAAAACTAAAATTAAATTATTTCATATATAGACCATGATGCAGGGATTAAATCTTTGCTTAACCAGTGCATAGTATCATAGGGGAGCTGCTGACAAATACAGTTGACAAGATAATAATGACCTCAGGTATAAAAATTTGATAAGACAAACAAATACGTAATACAATTTTACCAGACTGTACATTACTGTAATATAGTGTATGACTTTATTTTGAACATTTTAAAATAATACAACAATATATATAGAAAATATAATACTTATTTTTTATTTATACTTTCTTTTAATCCCGGCTCCTTCAGTAAATAATACCCACTTTTTCTTTTTGTTCATGCCCCACCCTATCATAAATCCTTTCTTACAATTTGTTACATGTATTTGGTTGTATAATTCCATTAACATATAAATTTACAGATATTTAATACACATACACACAGATATTAACTGTAAATGGCACAGTAGTAGTTATAATTAACTATTTAATTTAACTACAGTTTTGTTGTAAATCAAAATATTGTCCAAATTATTTTTTTAAACAAAAGTTATGATTTCCATTAAGTTGCATATTGCATTTTTAGAATTGTATGCCTCTAAAAAAGAGTGGCATTTATTAAGAAAATGTGATTTGCAGGACTCTTTCAAATCAATTTTTAGCTAATAAGCAGTTAAAAAATGATGTTTTGTTTGTTTGGACACAAATATGCCACGTTGATGCAAGACAACTTTTCTTTTGAACAGTTTAACTGGCACATGAAACTGTGTGAAATTTTGCTATAACTGGCGTGTTAATACTTGAGTTCCCAGTAAAAATGTGTTCTGCAAGGTCACAGTAGCCCTGCCCAGATCATTTCATTACTGAGGTCGAGTCAGCATTTGTCTGAAATCTGAATAAATATCTGAATAATTTTCCACATCACTAAGTGACAATGTGTTCTGGGATTAAAACAATTAAATAAAGTATTTCAGTCCATAATCATATGGATTGCAGTCCTTTAAGTGTTTAAGTCTTTCTTAGATTTTAGTAAAAAAAAGAAAAGAAAAAAGAATCCAACAACTATGCCTCTGTTTTTTAAGCTCTCCATGACCGAGAAAAACACTCCAAGAAATATTCATTACTTGTGGCCTTCATTCTAAGACCAAACTATGACTAGAAGCAACATCTGAAAACACTTCTTCCATGACAATGCTGTGTGCTGACAGTTAAAAACCTTATGTCCCACAGATATTTGATTACGACAAATCCCTCCAGTAGTGTTCCAGCTTTCTGACAAGCTGAAAGGTAGAAAAAAAGCTAAAAATAAATAATAATAATTTATCAAAGGAGAGATCAGAGAATACATTTCTTTTTTTTATAAAGGATTTATACTGTCCTCTTCCGCCTCCATTCTTTTTAAAAATTAATTCACTACTCAATCTTTTATCATCACACGGTCAGGCACATCAAACACTTTTATGGCTCTTGACAGCAACATGTGGTGTTTTATTGTCTTCTCATTAGTTTCCATTGGTAAAATACACCGCTTATTATCAATTTTAATACTCTGTTTGTCTAGCCTTCACATGCTTCTTCTTTTGTAGGGGGAAAATGCAATCATAATACTAGATTTGAACAAATCACAGTCTATAATGAGTTTATAAGGTGGTGTATTTGCTATTAGTTGTTAAACAATTTACTGTTACATTATAGTTCAGTTGTAACCTATTGATGCCAACATTATTACAATGGAAAATCCTCCTTGTTTTTGTAGTGAGCTTTTTAATATGTTCAGTACAACAACAAAATTCTCACTGCTAAGGGATTATTAGAAACTTAGAAGCACAACCCCATTCATTAGTGGATTTAATAGCAGTATCATCACTCAGTACAATCAAAAAGGCATGTTTCTATCAAAACACTACATCTGAATTAAGTGAATTTCAACATAAAATTAATAAAAATCTTCCAAACCTAAAGCAATAAATGTTTGCAAAGAATTTTTTTACATTGAATATAATTTTGTCTTTGAGCTGTACTATTATAGAGCATAAAGTGCCCCATTTTAAGTGATATTAGTCTCTGTTTTTTCAGGATTTGTCTTATTACACACGTGATTAAACAGTCCATTCGTTTACTCTCATAAAGATAATAAAGTTACACTTCTGAAAACATTAGGAAATGATTTATTACTTATTAATAGTATGTATGAACGGCCTTAAATGTCTTATCAGAAAGCTGTGCCCTGGACTCAAATGCTTTGTTAAAAAATATTTAGCATAATATCCTCATCCTGTTGATGAAGGCTATAGTGTATGTTGCTTCAACAGACTTTTTACGATGTCATTCCTAACATCACCATGTGATGGCGCCAGTGTCAGCCTGATTTGCCTTACCTCAAAGTGGATTCCCTGCTCCTGGAGTGAAGCCCCTGCCACAGGAGACTTTAACATTCAGATGCAATGTGGGGCTCGGGGAGAACTGTGGCCTGCCAAGTGAAGTCCTTATCTCATGTGTGGTTAAGATTTTTTAGAGTAAACATAAAACATTTCAAGGAACTCAAAAAGTACAAACCCTGAGGAGCCTGAGCAGAGTTTTCAAAAAGTTGAGAAAGTCAATGAGTAAGCCCTCAGGCACTAACTGATTTACTGTTTATTATTGCACAGCTCCAGAAGAGGTCATAACTGAAATTTCGTGAGACAGTATTGCAAATATATTGCTCTAATGTTACAGCTTATTGGTCAAAGGCAATTGTGTTAACTGCTCTGCTCTGAGCACTTGTGTCAAGTTCAAATCAATACCACTTAAACAGTTTGCAGCCTTATGGGATCCTAGTATCTTGATTCATTTAAGGTATTCCGTGTTTTAGTAGCTATTAGGAAGGTTTCTGATGGGAAACCAAATATTTGGATTCTTACTCGTTAAAAATGACAGAATTCAAGAATAGAAAGTAGTTACAAGTTAATCGAGGCAATGCTTCATATTGTATTTTGTGAGTCTTCGTGACTATTTTCCTGTAGCTGCTATCTATATATCATGCATACTCACACACCTATACATAGTTTGGGGTTAATTTAGGATTCAAGTAAGGTACATCAATATGTGCGCTAGAGAAGCCTGTCCAAATGTTGATGACCTCCTCTACTTCCTGCCACAGCCACCCTTGTTGTCCTTTGTAGAAATGTCATGGCTCATGTCATATCATCAAGGTTCAATTACTGCACAGAAAAAAAGGTCACATCAGACCTGCAGTAAAGACCAAAACCAACACAGACTTGCATCACGCTCCACCTCATAAATGGCCTTTTTCATGTTGAAGTGGTCTTCAGGAACAATCCTGTCAACAGATGCAAACACAACTGATAAAAGTGCAATAAACTACAGAAAGAGCTTAGTTTCATATTCTTGTTTTTAAAAGAGGTCATGTGATAGTATGGGGGGATAAAGGATCCGTGTGAGGAGATGAACTAAATTTACAGCATGTGTAGTCAAATGTGTCATGAGATTATTTGGGTGATAACATAAAGACTTTGCCTTTGAGCTAGTTCGCAGCTGACATCTGTGGACTAGCTGATGATGACTACTGGCTGTGCACACAGCTCTTGGGGGATTAGTGTGACTTACTTTCATCCATATTGTACAGCTCTCACGCAGTTTTTTTCAAACCAAAAGGATGGATTTGCAAGAGGCCCCGTCAGTGGCTCCTTAGCAGTCATGTTCAGTCACTGCAGTACTGCTGATTCACATTTTGAAGGATATTAATAGGCAAGTAAAAGATCCAAATGTCCCAAATGGCTTTAAAGTATAAAGTAAATATCCTACAATATTAGATGGGGTCAACCAACATGATTAGTGGTAAAGCAGTCATAATTGTCAAAAAGTGTGTGAGAAAGAAAATAGGAGAAAGAAAATGAGAAATATGTGGACCATAAAAGAGATGGCCTAAACAGAATGCCAGTCTCAATATAAGGAAACCTATTTCCTCTTCCTATAATGGCTCAGCAGATGGTTTAGTCCACTTGTCTGGGTTTCTGTGTTAAATCTTATGTTAACTTCACTGTGTAGACAGAAACCTAAATAAAGATGCTGGGAAATAATGTGTTGAGGGGGGATAGCTTAGTGTTTAGCAGTGTTTGTGCTAACAGGGAGGGAATGAGTAGATAAGTGAATCCATTGATTGAATCATAAAAACTGTATCCCAAGAAAGATGATTTTAATTAATATTAATACTTGTGTTTTCCACCAACCTGAAACATCCAATGTTGAAACAGTACACACAGCTGGATTTCAGGATATTTCAGAATATTGTTTTTTAAATCAGCAAAACATTGTAACA